TATGCTACTTTTCAAACCACAGTACTCGCAATGACTCCTCCAACTTTGCTCTGGTGTCTGCAGTAATTCCTGCTGATTGCCTTCATTTTTGATTCTATAAGGCCAGAAGAGTTTGCTCTTGCTTGTGAGGGAAAGACAGCAAGGTCAGTGTTATCTTCATTCCCAACCATGATTCATTACCTTTAGGACAGAATTGGAAAGCACTTAAGTATTTGCACAGCAGAAGAAAGAGAATGACAGACTCTCCAGGGACTTTCAGTACTGAGCATGCAGTGGCAGAACGAAACTGATGTGCAGCTTCACGGGAGCCTTGGTCACCACTTCACTGCACATAGAGGAAATGGCTGAAGGCTCCGGGCTACAAAACAACTCTGCTGAGACTAAGTTGTTTTTATGGTCTGCCTGCAGTCCTTTCTCCCCTACTGTGCTGTGCCCACCAACCCGAGTACGAATGCCCACTCAGTGAGTGCTTAGAACTGCTTTTTATGAAAAGTAAGTGCCCGGATTTTTAAGAACTGAATTTCAAGGTTTTTTTTTTTCTGCATCTCCCACGATTTTTTACATTTTTTTCTACAGTCTTAAGGTGACATCTGATGCCATGTCAGAGACTAGGAGACCTAAAGGACATTATTTCTGGTGTATGTATGGACTAGCATTCTTTATCTCACTGATTTCTATGTAGCCAGTTCAGTGCCTAACACCCTTTACTTACAAAACACTCAAACATTGAAAGTCAACCACTCAGTCACTCATTCTGCGATTTTATTTTCATTCTATACAGATTTCAATCCGGATGTGATTTGCATTTTTGAAGATGTGACTTCCATTATAAATACCCCACAATAAAATCTCTCATATAAGTACATAAGATTATAAAATGTATTAAATTGTAATCTTTAATAATTTCTTGAGATCAAAATGTTAACTTTTCTTTTGGATTATTATCTTATAATTACAAAGCTGATGAAAAATACAAATTAATCTTAAGATTAAAAATGAAGGGAAAAGGAGGGGATGTTAGGTAAGGTAGGAAAGACAAGGCAGCTTTTACACAGATGTGTGGCAGAAATAAGCTACACTTCCATTAGTAACAGTTGATAAGGATAACATTTCCATGTGTATGCATGTCTCTTGTAAAACCAGAGCCATCCGCTGCTACCTTTTAGGGAGCAAAACCGGGATACAGAAGTATTATACACCTGCCTCAAAGGTGACAAGAACAAGATCTGGGAGTACAACTAGTCCCATCTTTTTGTACCAACCACCCATGACAAATGTCATCTTTGGTATAACCTTTGCATAAATTGGAGATAAGATGGATATAATGAAATGTTGAAAATTAAATACAAAGCACCCCAGAGAGCACGACATGCTGTGTTTTCCTGACCACCCCCCAGCACTCGCTCCTCACAGGAGACCCTGCGTATGTCTGAAAGACTAACATTTATGTAATGTGGTCCCTGGTTGTGACACCTACAATCCTAACTCGTAGACGGTAGAAGCAAAAGGATGTTGTGCTGGAGGCCAGTCTGGGCTATACAACCAGACTCTGTCTCAAAACAACAACAACAACAACAACAACAACTTATTGATGTAAATTTTTTTCTATGGTACAGGATATTGGAGTTTCATTTTTAAGTGTTAAAGTATTTCAGTTTGTTCATTCTGTATGCTTCCAAGGCTGCTACTCCTGTAGGTAATAAAAAAAAACAATATTCAGGATATATGACTCCCCCATTTAAAAAATGGAAGACCCAGTCATGAAATAGGACGTGCAAAGGAGAAGAGACATATCCTTCCCTCATGAGCACATTTTCAGGAAGTTAAGTTTAGAAAATGTTCCAGATGTGAAGCATCTAGAAATTGGGTTAAAACAACCTGTGACTCTGTAACACAGCTTGAAGGCCTCTATTTTATGGAGAGCTGAAGCCACTTTAACTCAATTCAAAATCTCTTATTTTTCATTTTCAAGTCATAGTATTGCACATTTACACATGTTTACATTTTTTTCTTCCTTTGGCGCAATGGCACTCCTCGACAGAGGAATTTTTCTTTTTAGGTGTTGAGTTAGTTTGTGCTACTTGACAACTTGACCATTGGATATAGAAAGGAAATAAGTAGAGAATATTTTGGATGGGGATAAACAATGAAAATACAGGTAAACAAAAGAAGACTTAAGATGTGAGAGGAGGAAGAGAAGGCTCTGTCAAAGAGGTCATTAAACCAAAGCATCGATCTTGCTCTGTGAGGTTAAGTAAGAGACTGGATGCCCAGCAATTCCCAGGGAAGATTGTTTAAAGCAGGAAGTGCTGAGTTGCGGGGCGCCATCCTGTCCAGCAGGAATGAACCCCACCAAAAACGAGAATTCCTTCTCTGGTCACATCTTTATTTGGAGCATTCCTTTGAGGAAAATTGGGGGAAGGGACGATAGAGCAGGGACGAGAGAAAGCTTAGAGAGAGGAAGTAGGGTCCCGAGGCATCTGCTTTTAAACGGTGGAGCGGCTTGAACGCTGTCCTGATTGGTTAATGCCATTCTGCTGGTCTGAGCATGTGCAGGCAAGGGTGCAGGCAGGGTTGCTCAGCCCCACGTGGCTACCTCCAAACTGCAGGACCACCTGTGCCTCCAGGTGGCTCCCAACACTGAGTCAGATGTATTGTGCCTTCTCTCAACAGCTGCCCACATGAGAATGCAAGCCATTACACTGCAGTATTTCTGCACCTTATGATTTACAGAACATTTCATAATAAGATTTCCTCAAACAGGTAGAGACTAAGCATTTAACACCCCCTAGCCCTACAGGCTTTAAAGTCGCCCACATTTGCTGCAAATCCACACCTCCCTGTGGATGGCTCACAGCCAAGGACTGATTGCAGTAGAGATCTCAATGAAGCTGGTTTCTGGAAGATGAGGGGTTTCTTTGACTCTTCAAAGTCTTTGTCAAGTTTTCCTTAGTGAGTATGATGATCTAGAATACAACAGCTCAAACTTCTTTGCCGCTGGCCTCAAAGTCACGCGTACAGCATAGCCTGATGCCTCTGCCAGAGGTGTGGATGTGATTTTAGACTACACAACACTTCACGTCACTCAGGAGAATCTTACTTATTTGATTCTGTCTTGGGGAACCAGACTGAAATACTGTACATAAAATACATATGCATTCCTGTGTACTATACAGTGAGTTTACATATATTAAATACGCACATAGCCCAGAAATCTACTGTGATGTAAATCAAAGCTTCACAGCTGGATTTATCTTCCTAATCTTAGGACAGCCTGGCATTTGGCAGTGGAGCCTTCAGAGTTGGTTGCTACAGGCATATAGAAAATTTATTCATTCTCTCTGAGGCCATTCAGACACTCTGATTTTCAGTGGGTGTGATGATGTAAACCCTAACAGGGAAATCTATTTTGAAGGAAACTAATAACATGCATTTTAACTGTTCCTTCCATATGTGACAATCACTGAAAACAAAAGCCAGATACAAAAGTTACTTGATACAGATTCTATAATTTACAAACATATCATTTAAAAACCTGTGGATCAAAATAGCTTATAATAAGTTCACCCTCTTCAAAGCAGTAGGTCAAGAACTGTGGGGGATGCAGTTAGCAGTAGAAATCAGGCTAACACCAACTGATGCAAAAGGATCCATCCTGAAAACCACACTCTCCCTGCTCCAAGTTCACCAGCTACCTTAAAACCTGAACATATTCACTTTCAATGGTCTACAGCTACATCCATCCACATATGTCACTATTTTAACATGTGCAAAGAAGAGCCACATATGTGCCAGCTAGCTCTCTGGAGTCTTGTGTCTGTCAAAGAAACCATATCGGTCATCAGATGACTTTATTTGGATCTTTTTATAACCATTCACTTTAAATAGGTAATTCTATACATTTGTGCTAGTCCAAAGAATTGTGGTCTTAGCATATCAGATACATGTGTTGAAATGAGGCTAGGCTTATATATGTCTGTGTCCGTCTCTGAGTATATGCACTCGTGTGTGTGTGAGAGGGAGGGGGGAAGCAGTGTGTGTGTGTGTGTGTGTGTGTGTGTGTGTGTGTGTGTGCATTGTAGGATACTATGCTCTTGGCCAAACTGCCACCATTTTGATGGAATCAGTGATGCCTACTTTCGAGAGCCCATCAGACTAGGGTACTGTTGATATTCCCTTTCACAAGAAGGGTGCCAGACCATCAGTATTCTGGTTCCTCTCAGACATCTGTATGAAATCTTACTCAATGTAGCCTCAGAGTCTCAGAAAGGTGTTACAGTACATACACTTAGGGAAGACTTGGGGAAGGGGGCTCCCTATTCGTGGTTATGGGGATGTCATCAGCTATAATAGGTGGAGATTTCCAGTGTGACTGCTTTGGAATTGCCCAGGCTCATAACCTGTCATTCATATTTTATATATAAGTTCAGTGAACTCATTAGTTCTCCTGGGTAGAGTGTGGTGAAATCATATTTTTGGATTGTCATTAATACCTTAAGCGGAAGGAGTAGATGTTACTCATATTGGCTTCTGGGAATGAATTTTCAAGTGTGTGTGTGTGTGTGTGTGTGTGTGTGTGTGTGAGAGAGAGAGAGAGAGAGAGAGAGAGGTGTCTGTGTGTGACAGAGAGAGACAGAGACAGAGATGAGCTCTTCAGGACATTGATTTTTCTTCTTCAACCTCACAATAAGTTTCCTAATTCAAAATTGTGCTTCACTGTGCGTTTCCTAACTTATGACTATGCTAACTAATTTTGATTAGGTTCATTATTCAGGATGAGGTCTGGCCCATGGGAAATCTTGAACAAATATTTGTTGCTAAGATACGGAAATTGATAAGCCAATGTTATTTTATTTACATAAGCATGTTTATATTTGTTTTAATGTATTTATATACAACATATCTATATTATATAAGCATATTTATAGTATGTATACTGTAAGTGCTAAAAACATTTGAGCTTTGAGGCCCTGAAGATTTGTGATATATATTCAGTGTTGTTAAAAGCATTATCTCTTTCCTCTCTGACCTATCCTTCAAATTTGTCTTCACATCCAGTGAGATTGTAGAGGATGCACACATTTCTGGGATTGGGATCAGGAGGGGCTGAGTGAGGATGCATTCTCTCCGGGATTAATGGGCTATCTGTGTATTTATGTGACTAACGTTCACTCCCTCTACAGTTACGCTGCCTTGGTGTAGAAATAGCTTCCAGAGATCCATCTGCTCATTGTGAACACCTCCCTGTGGTGACGCCAGCAACACGGCCAGAACCTGTGTCACAATGTGCAAGCCTCCTATGGTGCCTGGAACTGGGGGAACTTAAGTGATGGAGAAGAAACACGGGAGAAAGCTGCAGCATGGGAAGTGGGCTGCGGAAGACGTTTTCACCCGTCAAATTTTGTGTACGCCACAAGCTGTGAAATACAGATGGGTATAGTCTTCTCATAAGACTGCACTCAGAAGAACATGTATGTATTCACTGTAACTAATGGCATAGATGTTTCTCAGTTTCCCTTGCTGTTGCGGTTATAAAACATCTTGACAACAGCAATTTAGGGAAAGAAGGGGTTGTCTCACAGTTCTGGGTAATAGTCCAGAACTGTTAGGAAAACAAGGTAGCAGAAATTTAGAGCCTCTGGTCACATCACATCCACAGTCAAGAACGAGGATTGCCAGTGTCAGCTCAGTCTCCCCATTGAGTTTAGTCCAGGGCCTAACCCTAGGGAATGGTGCCACCCATAGTGGGCTGGGTTTTCCCATATCAACTAATGTGATCAAGACAATCCCATGAGCTAACCTTATCTAGGAAATTTCTCACGGAGATTTTGCCCCGCCAGGTGATTCTGGATTGTGCCAAGGTGATAATTAAAACTAACCATGAAAAACTACAGGAAAAAATACATCAAGCAGGTAACTAAGATGATATTCTTATGAACTTCATCTTTATAAAAGTTGGAATGTGATTTTTCTATGACTAAATACAGTCTTTAGTGTCTAATTTTGTTTTTAATTTTTTGCAATATTTTAAGTTTTGTGGTAGTTCTACATCATGAATGTACTAGTAAGATTTCTCTAGCAGAACTGATAGAATGAATCTATCATTCTGTCTACCTGTCTGTCTGTCTATCTATCTATCTATCTATCTATCTTTCTCTAGAAAGGATTTATTATAATGGCTTACAGGCTGTGGTCCAGCTAGTCCAAGAGTGGCTTTCTACCAACAGAACAATCCAGATTTGCTCAGTCCCTGAGACTGGATTTCAGTATATACTGGAATCCCTAGAAGTTAGTTTCTAAATCCAGGGAAGGAATGAACTTACCAGTGAGTGTAAGCACAAGCATACAAAGAGAGCAAGCTTCCTTCCATGCCCTTTATATGCCTGTCAGGAGGAAGTGTGACCCAGATTAAATGTGTATCTTCCTACCTCAAAAGATCCATCTTAAAAGTGAGACTTCCCACTTACAATGGTTTAATTAAGAAAAAAATGCCTCAAAGGTGTACCCAACCACTTGGCTTTTAATTATTTCTAAATGTGGTCAAGATAACAACCAAGAATAGTCAACACAATGAAACTAATCACTTAATGCCCTTTCTTCCCTATCATTTATGACTAGAAATTAAATTCAAGATTACAGCTCTGATTTGTATCACCAAAAGTGACAAGTAGTCTTTTGAAGCAAATATTTTGTTTTAAATGTGTCACTTCTGTAATTTAGTTGGATTTTAAGAAACAGGTTTTGTTATTTTTAGATGTGATAATGACATTGTGGTCTTCTGAAAATCCTGGTGTAGGAGGTCCTCCTGTTTGTGTGTTGCTTTCATTGGTTAAATAATAAAGAAACTGCTTGGCCTGATAGGGTAGAACTTAGGTAGGCAGAGAAAACAGAACGGAATTCTGGGAGGAAGAAAGCAGAGGCAGAGAGAGAGAGAGAGCCACCATGGAGACACCAGGTCAGACATGTTAAATCTTTTCTGCTAAGCCACGACGTCGTGGTGAACACAAATTAATAGAAATGGGTTAAATCAAGATGTGAGAGTTAGCCAATAAGAGGCTAGAGCTAATGGCCAAGCAGTGTTTTAATTAATACAGTTTCTGTGTGATTATTTTGGGTATAAGAAAGCCAGCCGGGCGGCTGGAACAAAGGGTCCCCACCCTCTACAACAAAAGCACTTATGCAAATACATAATAAAATATTTATGAACCAAATGATGTATCTAGGATTTGTTCCAAAATCTTATGGTGAAGACATTGTTGAGATATGGATAAAGTAGTTTCCACCAAAGGCTGTTGGTCTAGAATGTAGTTAATAGGCACCGGTCTTTGTGTTTGAGTGTTCAGAGTTCTCTATTATAAAAAGCATTAAGGTATTCAGTTTGGCTGTCAAACTCATTAGACAGAACTCTGTCCTTTTTGTGGGTTTTGTGCTGTCTGACAGTGTGGACCTCCTAGTGCTATCTCAAAGAGCCCTCTTTATCTCCTTTCCAGCTCAGCTACCTTTTCCACAATCAAATGTTCCTCCCACTCACCCTTCAGTGTAAGGGTAGGGTGGGGAAAAGACTTCTGATCTGTGGGACTCTCCCATTCGGATTGTGAGAAAGCAATGTCAACAGAAGGGAGCGCTCTTACCCAGTAGATGGGAACAGAGTCAGGCCCCTCCCCCAGCCTCCAAGAATAACTGCATGAATCTACCAAGACATAAAGCAGACAAGTTGAGTAAACACATCTCAAGGCAATATGACATTCTACTGTTTTATTTCCATCGAAGGTCTCAGTAGGAAACAGAATTCTAATTCAGAAGACTCCACGTGCAATCGCGATCAACCATGACGGACTATATTAAAGGCCCCTGCAAGTGATCCCAACAGCTTTTTGGATGAACTGCACAGATTCCAAGATTTTGAAATACTTGCCACTTGAGGACTATGGAAGTTGCTTTTCTGTAAGATTTTGGAGGGGATAAGCCAGCGAATGGTTTGGGGGATAACATCCATTGAATCTGCCGGTACACAGGCATAAAAGAAGGGCTGGTTTTCTCTTCTTTCTATCTTTTTGATATTCTGCTGATGAGCACTTAGCTCTGGCATCCGATTGTTTGGTGGGTTTGGTTCTTCTGATTCATAATGGTACAGTCTCTTCCTCCTTGCGTGCTTCTCTCCACTGTGTGAGTGACTATAATTTGAACTCTGATCAACATTGAACTTTCTCCACAAGTCAGATTTAGCCTTCCTTCTTTCTTTGACTTGTGGGCACACATAAGACTCGCCGTATTTTTTTGCAAAATCCAATTTAGTATTCGACTCAGTTGCTGAGGAGGCTAAAGAGTAGCTTGTTCTGCTCCATGTGGTCATGGTCTGGTGCTTGCCTTCATTGAATGTTATGGAAGATGTTGTCGACTCTATTTCCACAGTATCGGATGGGCTGTAACACAGCCCGTCAGGAGACTGCATCTTGGAGTTTAACCTGTGTTTCTTACTATTTCGAGACTGATAGCAAGGTTGTGCCACAGGGGAGGTGTGTTTTCTGTGGGTTCTAGTATGATGGTCATTTGGATCGTCACGGTAAACTGATTTCAAAAGAGTTGCTCCATCCACTCTGTGAAGATTCTCCAATGAAATTGCTTTGGGTTCCTCAAACAGAAACTTTTGTGAACCCTGAATTAAGTAAAAATTGTTTCCTATAAACACACATTCCTCACTGTCACTTTCTTCAGAAGCTGGACTTTCCGCCAGGTCAGGAGCTGGACGTTCCGCCAGGTCAGAAGCTGGACATTCCGCCAGGTCAGAAGCCGGACGTTCTGCCAGGTCAGAAGCTGGACATTCCTCCAGGTCACTTGAAGTCTCAGTATTTAGGGGAACATCATTGGTCCAGTCATCAGAAATCCAAGATGAATGTGAACTGGCTAAATCAGCACTGTTTTGCTGAGTTCCTGAAATCTTATAATGCTTGTATAAACTGGTATCTTGAAAGCATACACGACGTTGTTCACCCTTTTCTGGTGTCATCTGTAATTTTAACTCCGAAGGAATTATCGTATCATTCTGTTCTGTGCCTTGTTGACCAGCAGAAAAGGCAAGCTCGTGGGGTGGCTCCTGGACTTTTCTGGTGAAGAATAAACTTTCTTGTGGATTTTTCTTTTGGAAAGGAACATGTTGTAAAAGGTCTGTGTCAAACCAAAGACGACTACTTTCTTCTCTGTCTTCTACTGTTTTACATTCTGAGCCCGAACCCACGTCTAACTTGTAAGGGAGTTGGGGAAGGACATTTGCTTTAGAGGCCACAGGGACAGAAGGCCTAGGGATTGAGCGGAGGTATTTGCATTGCAGATCACTGTCGATTTTGCAAAAAGATTTTTCATCAAAAAGTACATAAACTCTGTTCATTCGTTTCTGTCCTTTGGTGGCAGAATGGATACACGTAAATAGGGGTTTTGACTTATCTTGGGCACTGGCCATTGCGTAAGATTGTGCCGCAATTCTGGGAAGGCTGGTTGTTTTTATCTCCAGTGCTTTTGTTCCAAAGTGCAAAAGCAGGTTGTCCCTTCCTTTCTCGGAGAACTTCTGGAGAATGTGACTCCGAGTTTCTAGTGATGTGACACTTTCTTGCTTTTTGATGCCCTTTGCTTCTGTCATGACCTCGCTGCTATTTGAAACATTCGTTGTCTTTACACAGCTAAAAGGAGGAAAATCTCTTCGGTAATTGCTTTCTAAGTTATCATGTACAGAACCAGCTTTTGGAGACGTAAAATTCATTTTTGTAGGTTTTAAGTAAAGCCTGCCACTGTAATCTTCTGAAATAGTCCTTTGGGGTTGAGACTTACACTTCTGGCAAGATATGATCACAATCTCTGGTATGTGACTCAGTTTTATCTCAGTTGCTTTAGAAACTAAATGCATTCTTAGCTTACTTAGTTCTTTTACACCTGTCAAGATGTCCTTCGTGCCTTTAGCATCTGATAATTTCTTCTGGAATTCAGAATGACAGACTCTCTTTTCCCTTGTTGAGTTTGTTTCCAATTCTACCGTTCCTTCATCGTGAGGTGGACTTATCATGGAAACACAAAGACTTCTGGCGATGATCCCTGCTGCACATTTACTACTTGGAACCATGGTTTTTGGTTTGTTGAAGGCGTATTTTAATTTCCTCTTCCTGATTGAATGATCACATCCTATGATACCAAGTGTCTTTGAAATTGGGTACTTTGGGATTCTCATGGTTAAATATTTGGGTTTCAGTTCTCTTTTCAGATTTGTTTCTGCGAATCTGCTTTTCTGATGGTTAGGACAATCAGGAAAATCAACATACAATGAATTGGGCGTGTTGGTTTGAAGCAGTTTTTGTCCTTGAATGTTTTGCTTTGCAGAAGATAGCTCTAATTCCCTTTTAAGCTTTTCCTGGGGTGGGTAGCCATTCCCTCTGTAAGTGCCTACCTGAGTCTCGATCTCAGGTTCCTCTGTTGCTGGAGGAAGAGCATAGCTTGTAGTGGTGCTGGTGTGTTCCCTGGCTTTATTCTCCAGCCAGACAATACAGCTCTGCTGCATTTCTCTTCTGTCTTCTTCTAGGGCTACACCTCCCCTCCCACCCGCTTTCAACGCCCCTTCTTTCTGACTCGCAGAAGAGTTGCTGTTCATTTCTAGTTTTGTCTGCTTCAGATTTTCATCGGGGGCTGCGTTTGTTTCTTCCAGGTGTTCAGTTTTCAACGGAGACTCATGGAACTTCTGAGGCAATGCTCGACCACACTGTTCTTGTTCCGGAACAATTGAGGGTGAATCTTCTTTCCTTCTTGTGGCATTAAACACTGTAGTACACATGTCTACCCATGACTGCGTTTGCGGGTTGATACTCACTGTGGTTTTCTTGTCCACATCTGTTTGTAAAGATATCCTCTGTTTTTTGCTGTGAACTGGAACATTAGGAAGGGAGGACTTTGACTCTATCATCTGTCCACTCTTGGACTGAGGCATGGCTTGCTCTTCCACAATAACATTTTGTTCTTCCTTATTTTGAGACATCTTTGCTGGAGTTAACATTTTACTTAGTGAAGCATTACTCTGTCTACCTTTCTCTGACGTCATGAAACTACCGGAACCAGTTTCCTGTTTTCTCTTTGCCACAGATTGTTTTGAACACACGAGGGTATCGCTGGTGACCAGTGCTTCCTTGAGTGATATATTTGTTGGAGAAACTGACAACTTAGAACTTGTTTTGTTACTTAAATTATCTTTGAACTCATTTTCCTTTTTCCAATGTCCAATTTTAGTTGAAGGTTTCTTTTCACATTTTTCTGGCTGACCCTTTTGCCCTTTGAAAGACATGCTCAGCATTGTTTCCTTTTTAATGGTACCTAATCTCGTGAGATGAATTTTATGATCTTGGGGTTCTGACTCATTTTCCATTTCAACTTGTGGATGCTCACTTATTTGATGGACACTGGTCACGGACTTGGACTTCTGTAGCACATTATATTCTGTTGTCTTAACAATACAGTCACTCTCAACCGCAGCCGACTCTTTGGTTGCTGGTTCCTGGGCATCTGCTGCTTCTTGGCAATTTCCCTGTGGGTAAGAGAGTCCTGTACCTCTTGCTGTGCCTCTCTGTGTTTTGTCCTGTGAATACTCAGAAGGGAGTGATGGCAAAGACAGGAAAGACCGTGTTGCAACCACAGCCTGTTCACTTTTACCGTTGTGTACTTTTTTCTCCAGAAACTTCATATTCAGGACAACTTCCTTGGTATTAAGGAGATGTGAAATTGGTGAGACCTTGGTCCTTTTGCAATGCACCCCAGCTGTCAAGTCTACTATGACTTCTATCTGTTTTTCACATTGTTTCCCTTTTTTGACATGACCACACATGGCCTCTATGTCAACTATTTTCTCTGCATCTGGGGAAGAGAGTGTACTTTTTAGCCTTTCTTCATCTACTTGTACACCTTTATGCGAGGGAATATTGGTTGGAGAAGGTTGAGAAGTATGCATTTTTCTTAAACCTCGAGGTTCACTTTTACTGTCTTCTTCTTTTGGTTTGGGTGCATTGATATGCATATGTAGTTCTGTTCTGTAGAGCTTCTGGGGCAGAAGTAAATTCTGTACTTTCAAAGTTACATCAACTCCTCGCCTGTCTATTATTTCTTTTGGATATGTCTCTTTTCTCTGAGATATATGCTGTTTTTTTACATCTTTCATGGTATCACCAACAATGGTCTCTCTAGGTACGGTTTTTCCTTTAGTTGAGGATCTCTGCAAAGCAGAATTTCTAAGACTTAGTTTTGGGTCATTGAATTCTAATTTCTCAAACAGTTTGGGATGAGACTGATCTGGCAACAAAGGAGAGGATTTAGTCAGATCTAAGACTTGCTCGTCTTTCAGTTCCTGCACCATTGTTTCTTGATACATGTGAGTTGTTACGAACTTTGCTATTTGTATTCCGGCTTCTTCCTTTTCCTGTGACATGTGCTGTTTTTTATTTTGTAGACTAATTGAAGTATCTCCAGTAATTTGCTGTATGCAAATGCCTCCTTCTGAGACTAATTTGTTTTGGACGTATCCCAAGGAGACAGAGGATCTTGTTAACACTGTTCTATGTTCTTTCTTGATTCTGGCACTCACAGTAAGGGTAGGTTGGGGAGACATAGCAACAGAAGTCTTAGGCGACTTCTGAGTTAATGTTACACATGGCTTACTTCCATCTTCTTCAATCTCTCCCTCTTGTTCTTTAGTTTTCCCCTGAAGGTCACTGAAATTCTGCATAAGTAAAGTAGATGATTTCTTTGTTTTTGAATATATATCCTCGGCATGCATTGTACTGTTCACATCCCCATCCTTTTCCCTACCTTCCTTTTCCTTCTGTGCCACATGTTCCTTCAATAATTTTATCTCATTGTAAACTTCTCTATTAACTCTCTGTGCACCTGGATATTTATTGAGTTGCAATTGTGAGACAGACAATGCTACAACTGTGTTGATCTGATCTATAAGTTTTTCTTTCCGGGTTTCTCTCTGCAACTCCTTGATACTGAGTGCAGGTGCTCGTGCTAATTTCCTGACATTCTGATCAATCAATTTGGGTATCTTTTTGTCTCTCGCCTCTTTTCTGACTGTATTTTTTTCTTCTCCCTGTGTTGATTCTTTTTTATTGTTCCACAATTTTTCCTTTCCATGTGGTAAGTATTTCAAAGGTAATGTCGTTCCTTTTCGAGCAATACCAATGAGGCCTAGTCTATCTTTCAAATCTACGATATTATTTCTATATTCTTTCCTCTGTGGAGCATCCTTTAATTCTATTAACTTGCATAACTTATCTCCACTAAATGCCTTTGAACATGGCACCTTTCTGCCGCTCAGTGACAGCAAGGGCTTTAGGGGTGGGAGGCAGCTCTTCAGTTGTTCTGACTTATCTTTTTCAACTTTTATTCTTGAATCCAAGTGAAAATGCAATAGAGGTGGTAATGAAATACAAGAGTTCTTCAGTTTCACGTCTGATTTACTCAACCCTTCTCGAACCTTCCCCTGTCGTTCTATACTGTCAAACAGTACAGTTAACTTGTTTCCACTGAAAGGATAAGACAGTGATAATTTCTCTGTTTTGAAGGTAATGTTAGACTCCATTATTCCCTTTGTGTCCGTTCCTTTTATGCCATTCTCTTCCTGTGATTTATGTTTTTCTTGTCTTATATCACTTGAGATAAGCACATCACTTTTCTTTTTATCCAATTTTAAGGGAGGTAAAGGGATGTATTTACGTGTTTTTATTACAACTGAACCTGGTTTACCCTTTCCATGTTTTACGCATATCATTTTCTCTTTCTTGTAACAATGTGGCTCTGAGTTATTGCTTGGGGTATAATCATTGGAACTAATATGTGGACGTACAAATTTCTTCGAGTTTAGGGTTTTTCTTTCAGGGCATATTGTGTCATTCATAACTCTGTGTTCTATGTTACCCTTCTGTTTTTCATTTTCATGAAAAAACTGCAAGCATAGTGAAAGGCAGTGTAAGGACATGTTAGGCAGACACACCTCTTGCTTCTTTTGACTTGCTCTATGTAACAGTTCCTTTTTGCTGACTGTTGGCATAGATGAGCTATCATTTGACACTAACTTACTTAGCTGCACCCCATCACATAACTTTTTTTTAGATGAGAAAAGGCTTGAACATTTTATAGTTTTACTGCCTGACTCCAAAGGCAGCTCTGGATCTTGTTCTTTTGTTTGCTCTAGAATAACTGAGGGCAAAATCCTCTCTGGTCTACATTCACACCCGGTACTTTGTTGAGCTTTAGATGACAAATCTGGTCCCTTTGCCTCGCTTGACACATCGCCTACTTTTAAAATTGCTTCCTTTGTGTGAGGTTCTAAATGGGGCTGGACATACGAATCATTTTGGGAACATGATAGATGTTCTTCCAAATTCTTGAGGGAAAATGGTAGGTGGTAATGGTTTCGTTCCTTTGTCCTGTTGCTATGTTCTTCCTTTTCTGTATTTAAAGTGTGATAGTCCAGACTGTCTACTATCTTTAATTCTTTCTCTACCTGTGGTGATGTAATTTGATGCCTGTCCATCAAGCTGTGAGTGCCAGATGCTGGAATAGGCTCACACGTATCCTCTGGATGCTCTTCTCCACCCTTAGCCTGCAGGTTAACTCTTTCTGAACTTGGAGAGTGACCTCCTAGAATCTTAACTTCACTTGCTGCTTTTTCTAGCGCCGGGTTAAAAATCTTTGAATTGAGTGCTGCTTTTGCTGAAATTTCTTTCTGTGCGTTTTCAGTCTGAAGTTTGTATAATATACACGATAAAACAAATTCCACAATTTGTTCTTTGTTCTGAGCAAAAATAGTCAGTTGCTTTGCCCTGATTTTTTTTGAAATGTCCACTTTCTGTCTATTTAATTTTAGTGGACTGGCAGTGGATTCAGCTCTTCCTTTGCCCCTGAGATTCAGTTTGGCACCTAGGGCACTGGCACCACTGTCCTTCCTTGTTGTACTCGATCTTCGTTTTGAGTGACGAGGAGCCCTCTTGTGGCAAGGTACAGAATTCAGAAGGATTCGAGGCCTGTGACCTGACTTTGCATAGCCTCTCTGAGCTGTACCTGTTTTGTATAGATTCTCTAGATCTGTGCAGAGAAATGCCTGTGCTTCGGAACCTAGTTCTGGGTCAGTTTCTCTTAATCCAAATAGACGGGAAATATTGTTCATGTTATGATCCGGACCCACTTTCTTAGCTACCTTTGAGCTTTCCAAGTGAAAGGGCTCCCTAAAGGGGCAGGTGACCTTCTCCAAGCCTGCCGGCGAAGACTCACCTTGTTTAAGCAATTCTTGCACCTTGCATGTCTCTTTCTGGAAAGTATCCAGCTCCATGAGAAATACACCATGTCCTTTGGCACTTGAAATCTTCATCTTCTCGGGTCCTCCTCTACTGGGTGGAACCGAAAGTGCATGTCTGATGGGGTCTGTCCTAACTCCTTGCTCTGCTCTCTGTGCAGTCGAGAATTCCCATTCTGGATCTGCTCTGGGTCTTTGAGACTCAAGCCTACTGGAATCAGTTTCTTCAGGCTCTGGAAACACGACACGGTATGCTTCTTTTTCCAAATGGGCACTCAACTTGATATGTCTAGGCTCCTCCACTTGTTGGCCAGGCATGAACTGAACTTTATTCTGTGGGGTAATATCTAGTAAAAACACTTGGTGTTCTTTTTGCTTCATAGCATATTGTTCTGATGTTCTGATGGTGCTCGATGTTGAATTGTTATCAGTGGGCTGCATAGATATCAAATTAGTTCCGTTCAATGGCCTTCGGGGTTTGCCATTCCCCTCTTTTACTTCTCTAAGCTTTTTAATTTGAGACGCAGTGTAGCCAGAATCCTTCCACAGTAAGCCTGCCACAGTTTTTTCCTGGGGGAGCTCCTTCTGGGTCTTAATGCCGTGTCTTGGCTCCTTTCTGTAGCTGTGGGCTCCATATCTGGTATCGTTGAGCAACTTTCCAGAGGTTGTCTTCCTCAGCTTCATTTTTATCATTTTGTGATACAGGATGCCGTCCATGAAAGCTGCTCTTCTTTTGCGGTGATATATATCTTTAGACGTCGGCTCCTGTGTGAAAACAAAGTCCAGGCTTGTCCGTTGTACACACAACCTTTCCTGAGTCCACAGTGTGGCCACACTCCTCTTTGGTTCTGTCCCATCTCTTTGCCCGAACACAGCACTGCTCGTTGTGTTGATGAACTGTGTTCTGGGTGGTGAATTATTTGGAAATGGAGTGGGGTTCTTCATTGTTGCTTTTATGTCTTCTGCCGTTTCAAAATTTTTACCCCCTCTACTTCTTTTGCTCCTCTTTTCCTGTTCTTTTAGCAAGAGTAGTTCTTCAATACTTCCAGGAACGTGATCCATATCTGAAATATATTCCGCATCTGAGGCTTTCTTCAGCGGTGGAGTCGAATTCTTTAATAGTTTGTCACTTATTTTCTTGTTTTCCTTCGGCTCTTCAGTGTGAGGTTGGCATGGTACCTGAGAGGGAATGGATCCAGGAAGAGGGTCTGTGAACATATTTGCTTGCTGTACAAGAAGCCTGGGAATAAGCAATGCTTCCTTTGGATCTAATGGGTTTTCCATTACTTCCATTTCTCCTATCATCTGTGGACTTGATGTTTTGATGTCTCGTCTTTTTATGAATTTGTTTGTCATTCCACAATGAGGAAATTCCTTCACTGTCTGAAGAATCATCCCTTGTTCCAGTGGATATTCCTGTTGTAGGCTGTCTTGTGGACCAATGTAGACTTTTGTTCCTCCTCTGTTTCTGGAGGTAGCTAGCCCAATGTGATCAGTTTCATCTTTCTGGGAAGTTAACTCAGAGTTTGTCTTTCTTTGTAAATTGTCTAATTTGCAAGAGTGATGCTCTTTAATTTCTTCTGACTCAACCCCAAATTTTTGTACAAATTGTTGGTGAATGTCCTTGAAAGTGCAGTCACCATGCACCTCTTTAATATTTTCTTCGAGTTTCCTAGGTACATCAACACGTCCTGACCCCGACTTTTGCCTTTGGTCGGATGGTTTCTCCATAATTTTCTGTGGAAGAGTGTTTTTTCTTCCTCCCAACTTGTCTTTCTCCAGTTTTACACTGGTAAGCTTTGTAACCGGGGATATAAAGCATTCCAAGTCCAGATTAGCTTTTAGATCCAGATTTTGTCCATTTCTTCTCCTCAGCTCTAATGCATTCTGGTGCTGGTGCTGCATGCTATGTCCCAGTTCTTTTTTATTGCTACTGTCCCCGTGTCTAAGAAGTAGAGGAACCGGCATTTTCTTTGCCTTCAGCTTTATTTGTGTGGCACACACAGTAGTTTTCACATTTGATATTTTTGCCGTATCTTTCTCTCTTCTAGTTTCAGGACAGGTAGTGTCACTGGCATAAGAACTCCACGTAGGTCCTAAGACATTAGGTTTTTCCTGTTTTTTTGGCTGGGCAAAAGACTTGGACTTTGTTTCCCAATCTGTTTTAAATCCACCGTTCTGCCTTCCAATTTGAAGAGCATGTGTATTAGAGGAAAGAACAACCTCTTGGTTAAACTCTTCTCCGACTGTTGCATTTCCTTCTTGATCTATTAAATAAATAGCTGTTTTCTGAAGCATGATATCCTTGCAGTGGACTGTGCTAGCGGAAGGCACGTCTGATTTGAAAGGACCAGGTTGTCTCTTTTGATCTGCTCCAAACGGCAGCTGTGCAAACTCTTCTTTCCTCTTCATCTGTGCTTTGTCCAGGCCATTTTCTTTTGAAGATTTCTCATACATATCCCATACGTTCTGTGATGACGCCATGTTTATTTGTTGAATTGGCATATACGTGTAGATGGATTTCATATCTGTATTTACCTCACCATTATCTACTTTTATCTCTAAGGCTCTAGAATCCCGTGTCTCTTTTATGTTTACAGCAGCACAGGCTCCACGAGGTGACTGTGACTCCATCGGCCCCTTCACCTGTGAAGGGATACCTTTATGAATTGACAGGTTGAGTGTTCTGATGCCACCCATATGCCTTTTAAATCCTTTGGAAGCAATTAAATGCCTGGCAACAGAAGTGGCAATTCCTGTCAAATAAAATGAAGACTTTTCTTTTGAAGAAGACTGGTCAGTGTTCTTTACTCCATGTTTGGTAGTGTTACTGGCTGATTCACTGACTCCTGGACGATTGTGGGGTCTTTCCATATATAAGAGTGCTTCTTTGAGGCTTATCTGCATGCTGCTGTTCTCTATTTTTACGTCAATTTCTGGATTGGCCTCAAAAGTTTGACTTTTTTGTGGCAAATATTCTCTGAAAAGTATTCCCTTTGACTCCTCAAGACTGGGTTTCTTCATGAGATGTGTACTTGCTGTTAAGTTTTTCATATAAAATGGATCAGGTTCTATTAGCACTTCTTGCTTCTCTCGCCAGCGCTGCCCAACATGCACTTTAGCATCCTTTAAAAAGTTGGAACCAACCTTGTCAACAGAATCATCACACTCTGCTATGCCTTCAACTGGTGACGCCCCGTGTGTTGGCTGTGTATGGGTAGACTTTGATACTCGCAAACCTACCTCTGTTTTGAATGGATTTTCCACATTAGAGTTAGTTAATAGAAAGTGCTTGGTGTTTTGAAATACACCAGTTCTATTTTCACTGAGCCATATTGCTTTCATTTTTGCTCTTAATTTAAATTTCTTGTAGTTTGTGATAAAGTGTTCATCTACTTTAATTATCTTCGAAACTGATGTCTTCTTTTTCTTCATGGTTGAAAATCTCCTATTCAACATAATTTCATTTTCTGATAATTTTTCTGTGTCCACCTGGCCTTTAGAGCCAGATAAATCAGGTATGAAAAAATCGAAAGCTCTCAAGAAAGTTGTGGATAAGCTTGATGGTAACTCTGCCTTTTCCGCTGCATTACATCTTTGAGGTATTCTACTAGAAAAAGCAACTTTTGCTGCCTTATCAAGTGAAAGTGCATCAGTTGGGAGTTTGAGTGGACAACTCTCTGCATCTTCAACAGCATGAAGCAGTGCCACCTCCACACATTTATCCCTTTTTAACTTGTGTTTCACCTCATGGTGCCTCTTCTTTCTGTGGACTCGCGTATAATGCCTTGCAATATGAAGCAGCCCCGAGGCTTTCCTTGCCTTGGAACTCACATATTTTTTGCCTGAAAACTCTAACGTGCAGCCCTCGCATTTGGATTCAGATGACACAGGGCTGGACTCCTGGAAAGGTTTCAAAGATGTTAAGTCCCTTTCAGCCCATGCTTTTTGTTCAGAAATAACATAGTCACATTTTCTCCTGGGACCTTCATCACGGGTGTGATCACAGGGTATGGAGCCAGTCTCAGGTTCCTCTGCATTTAGAAGTGGAGACATCACACTCACCGTGCTGCTTTGAGGGGTGTTCACATTGACTGGCTGTGCTTGCCCATTGTATAGGGTTCTCTCTAGCTCTGGATAAGTTGCTGAATTAATCCATTGTAATCCAGATTGCGTAGAATTAGGCTCTGTCATATTCTGAGCACTGAAACTGAAGTGCTGGTCCTCTTTGCCTCCTTGACCTTGTACATCTTCAGTGCCATTTGAGGTAGCATCCTTGTCCATGTAGTGTGTACACCAAGCTTTTTCTTTATGTACTGACCGGTCAAGAAGCTCACAACTAAGTCCCATTGTGATCTTCAAATCCCTATCTTCTATTTCATCACATGTGTTAGGATCAAGAGACACAGATATGGGAGAGATGACATTTAGGGATGAACCTGCCGTGGGTTTACTTTGCTTTGGAGATCCACATCCTGCAGCAGTAAGTGTCTGAGAGATTGCTTCGTTCCTGGTTTTGTCAGTTAGAGAGCTGTTAATCATTTCATTTCCCTTGTCCGGGATTTCTAAATTCGCTCTCTCTTTTGATGTAGGTGTGGAGAAGCTCAAAGACCCTAGCATTGTTGCTGCCAGTTCCTGGGTTAATGATCTTTTATTTTTCTCTGCTGCTGAATTTTTCAATATTATTATATTAAGAGTATCAGGCAAGACAGCAGACTGTATTAGTAATTCAGAAACCAGTGATTTCAAGGTTTTTGGAAGTAGATTGTTCCTATGACCACACTGTGGAATAGTCAATACCTTTGAGACGAATACTTTCCTTCTTTTCATAGTTACACCAGCTGAACACACTTTACCTTGTAAGGCTTTGCATGTAGATACCTTGCTTTTCCTTTTGGATCTTAGTACCTCAGGGGGTGATAGATCCGAAGACTCTGTGATGGTTGCTTGTAGATCACTTTTAAGCCCTTCTCTTTCCAATCTATCCCAACTGTTCGGTTTCTGAGCATGAGTTCCATCAGCAGGGATGTCGTATTTTGCTCTACCGGTGCTAACTTCATCTGGTTGTATGGGAGGAACCTTTGGACTTGATGTACACACAGCACACTCTCTTCGTGTTAGATCTGCTGACTGACTTTGCTGTGGAATGTCCTGTTCTACGATGAGCAGAATGTTCTTCTCTCTTTGTTTTCTTAATTTCTGAGACTTAGGATCCCTGCTTTGATGTGGACAAAATACAAAATCTCGACTACACTGTGAGAATGGCTTTAATAATGTGTCATCATTTTTCTTTTCTTCTTTATCTTGAAGATCAATTTGTTTGATGTCTTCTAAAAGAACCTTTCCTTTATGAAGCAGTATCTCTGCTTCTGGATTCCATTGTATCAAACAAGGTGTCTTTTCACTTGGTGTGCCTGTTTCTGAGTCTATCTTGCTGCTCAGATTAATATCCAGTGCGGCATTTGTCAAGGAGAATGTTTCAGCTGCAAGTTTTTTCTCTTGATGCCTGCCATTCACTTTGGCTGGGTCCCATTTCTTTTCCCCAGTCTGCTTTGGATTCGTGTGTGAGGCAGGTGGCTCCCATGCCTGCTCCTCACTGTCAGCAGCCTGTCCCTTGTGTCGTCTGTCACCAGACGGATCCCTGTTGCTTTCAGATAATGCACCGTCCTCTAGTTTTTCTAATTGAAATTCATCTGGGATGGGGCATAGGGCAGAACAGGAAGCAACTTCTGTAGGTGTCTGAGGTTGTACCTGAGTAATTGTTCTTCCTACTTGGTTCAGTTGTTTATCTGATTGAACAGGGTCACGGTCTTTTTCATGATGCACATCAAGTATAAGGTGAGGGCTCTTCTGTGTGATCAGGAAACGTTCTGGTTCCTCTTCCCCTTTCTCTTCATTGTGCTTCATGCTAGGGAAACTGCTTACATCAGCAGAAGCCAGACACTGAGCGTTTCCTCCATCTGGGAATTTCTCTCGCATTTGCTGCATATAACCAAGTCTTCTTATTTTCTGTTTACCTGCCCATGATTTTGACTTTCTCCTTTTTTTGTTGGACAAAATATATGCCTTAGAGTGAATGATTTCCAAGAAGGCACCTGCTATGCTACCCCTCTGCTGTAGATCGTTTATCTCCACGTGGTTTAGTTTGTTGCTGTATCTGAAGTTAACTGTCTGTGAATCTGATGTCTTTATTTCCCTTGTAGCTCTGTATTTACGATTCACTGTTGTCTGCTTCTTTGATCTTAGTGCTTGTCTCCTCTCTTTACGACTAGAAACCAAGGATCTAGTAACAGAATCAGAAAACTGTAGGAACATCTCCTTCAGACTTCTTGATGACTCTGAATATTTTCCCACAGGGTACAAATCTAGTTCATGTTCAGACTTTTCATCTGATTCTAAATCATTGTCTGCTATGTCTGTGAATTCACCAGGTGAAGAATTCCCTGCTTCAGGAGATAAATTTTTAGGAACCACAGGGAAGTTTACACCACTTTCTGTTTTGATAGTTTTCTGAAATCCTTCAGCTTGGATGGGAGCCGCTTGTAGGGTGTCCTCCAGAGCATTTTGCAGGAAGTCTTCTTGGCACTTTACACCCTGACAGTTAGCAGGTTGCTCTTGACTTAAAGAGATCAGCGATGGGTCTGGCTCATCCAGAAGAGTGTCCTTCCTTTGATCGGCATCAGCCCACTGGTATTGGTCATGCCACGGAGCTGCCTGTACAAAAGGTTCTTGTTTCTCTTGAAGTTTTTTCTCTCTGTTGTAGAATGTTCTACTCTCAGCAACACTATCAACACATATTTTGCTCGCTGGTTCTTGCTTTAGCTGAGCATGACAGAACCCTCCCCGCAATCTGCTATTGATGAATAAGCAAAGAGTGTTTTGGCTTTCAAGCAAAAATGATTTAGCGTGGTTTATTTTTTCTAATTTGGTCTTAAGGTTCGATTTTGGATTCTGTTTATTGCCTGTGGTACTGAGTGTTTTGGAGGCTGGTGGTTTCACCTTATTCATATACTCGAGCCTCACGGTGCTCTTATTTGTGAATCTTGTTTGGCTTTTCTTCTTTTTAGAATGAGTCAACACAGGCGTGCAGTAATTTAAAGAGTATGAGAAAGCTTTTTGGGTCAAACCACTACTGATTTCCCTTGTATCATTCTTACTACTTGGAACATTCCTTTCTCTTGATTGGATCAGAGGGTCTCCCGTCAGTAATTCTCCCGATGTTGGGGGACCCAACTCTAATTCTGAACTATACTGGAGCTCGTCCCATGTAGATGTGCCAGTTTTTGTATTTGCAACACAAAATGAGTCCATTCTCAGTGAGTCAACTGATTCCCTAATTGCTTCAGTGGAAGATACTCCTTGAAACAATTCCTCCTCCATCTTAATCTCCTTCACTGGATGTGCATCAAATCCGTGGTTCCTCTTAACGTGAGCCACTGTCTCCGGCAGGACTTGCTCCACCAATTTCACACCATGGCACAACCGAACTTCTAGAGTATCTACAGTTTTGCTTCCTTTACTAAGGGAATCCAAATTCTTTTCTTTCTTTTCGACTTGGGTTTTTTGGGGTGTTAGCTTGATATTTGTTTTATTACAGTGAACACTAGACCCCTGAGGATGAATGTTCAGGAGCACAGGTGCCAATGTTACGTCATGCAGTGTTTGTTTAATGAGTATTTCAAAGCTGTGTTTCACTCTTCTCTTATGGTTCAGAGTGTCACGTACAGTGACAGAAAGCCTCGAGGAAGATGCAGCTTTTTTCACATTAATAATTTTGTGCTTGACACTGAGTACATTTTTTGGCCCTGATGATTTTTTTTGGACTTTGAACGGTCCTGTGGCAACTGCACATAAGTCCCTTTGCAAGTTTTCTTTGTCTTCTGTAATATGACCATCTGGTGTTTTTGTGGGCTTTCCACAGAATGGGGCCTTGTGTCCGGTAGTTTCAATTAAACACTCACCAGCAGGTGAGTTTTCTGGCACTAAAGTTGGGTGCACGGGACTTGCAGCCTTGTCTCTGTCTGGAGATTTGTCTGTCCTTCGCTTTACTTGCGCAACTTGTAGTGGATTTGTCAAGGGGCATGGGCCAGTCTCCCACACTGTCTGTGTAGAAGTTGTCTGTGACTGTACTGCTTTCTTTGGACTTTGAATTTTTCTTTTTCCTGATGGGATCGGTCCCATTTCAAACTGGGCACATCTGTCCTTCTGCTTCAGACCTACGCTGACTCTAAAGTCTTCTGCCAGCGGTCGAACAGTTTCTTTTTCCTCTTCATCACTGTCCGACTCATGGGGTTTTCTAAGTATGGAGCTCTTATCAATATGCTTAACTTCCTGTATTTTCTTTTCATCTAGTAGTTCCTCTTGCTTTAGTGCAGTATAACTACAATTTGTCAGTGTGCCTATGTTGGCTTCTAATTGGTTACCCATTTCCATATCAAAGAGTTGAGAAATGGTAGCCTGTGTGGCATTATGATAGGTATCGGACATCCTTTCATCCTGATGTCTATTTGTTTTATTGCTTTGAGTGTCACATTCCGGCTTCTCACTCTCACTTGGGTTACCATATTCGATAATATTAGCCGTTAATGGTTTCTCTTCCTTCAGATTTATGCTTCCTGTAGTCACTTGGACATTTATATTTTTGAATTCATTTTCCTCGTGCTTTTGGGATCCCAGTGAAATATTTAAATTGATACCTGGAAAGTTCAGAATCATTTCCCCTGAATTTTTGGTATTCTGTACACTACCTTTTGAAAAGCACTTTTGTATGTCTGGTGTACCAACTGCTAATTTCTCTCCATTCTCTGTATTTTGGATGTCCTTCTGTACTTTCATTTCTCTGTTCGATTCTATTTGGGGAAGTGAAGCATTTTTCCATGCAGACTCTGACATCACTCCTGAAAACCCCTCATGCTTTGGAATGTTCAGGTCAAATGAACAAGGAGCTGCCAGTTCAGGAGTGTTGACCAGGAAAGAGCGTTCTGTGTTTTCCATAGTGTCCAACGTCATTGCATCATTAGAATTTGTATAATTGATGTTTTCTGTATCTAGTGACTTCTGCAGAAAATGTTCCCATTTTATGAGGTCTGGAATAACGGCCACTAGACATTTTGAGAAATACTTTTTACCATGCGGAGTGATCAGCTTCGAGACAGAAATGAGATGGAAAGCTATAGCTGACATTATTTTCCTTTGATGTGCTCTTTTCAACTTCTTGCGCTTTAACTCTATCTTGTTTTCTGAAGTACGACACACTGCGATTGGAAACACCCGTGAAGGAAAGGTTTGCTTTGCTTTGGGAGGCAGAACTCTAAGACTGAGTTTTCTTTCATTGCCTGGTGTCTTTCTCCCATTTCTGTCCCTTTCGATGGTAGGTGAGAAAGGCATTGAACTGTATGCGTCATACTGGATTGATTCCAACGAAGCCCGTGGTTGTTGGCCTGGTGCTACCTTTTGTTGCGCCATAGCTTTAGCCAATAAATTTGAATTTAAAGACAAAAATTCAGCATTCTGGAAAACACTATATTGCCCTTTACCTAGACGGTTACTCTTGTTTTGGTCATTAAAATAAACAGAATTGTGAGTCTTGCTGAAAGGTTCAGCAGACTCTATGCCCTTGGCTGAATATTCTGTTTCAACAATACATGGGGTGTGATTGAAATGCTGGCCCTTATCTTCATGGCTGATTTGTTGGGCCTGCACAGAGTTTTGTGCCCTGCTAGAAAACAGCGGTCTCCGAAAGTATGCAGGCTCAGAGAAACCAGGCTGGCTGCTGTCTGAATCCTGCTCATGAATGAATGGTTGGGTTTGCCTAGTACACTGTGCTTCATGAATCAATTGATTCTGCATAGCACTTTGGTCTGGGAAAGTAATTCGTGCTTCACCAGGAATAACCCCTTCATTATGTGAATGATGAGAATGAATCGATGGCTCCTGAGCTCTGGGGTGCAGACCTTCAGCTTCTCTCCAAGATCGAGCTTTGGGGTTCACAAGGATTTTCCTTTTTATATTTTCTTCCATGTGTCTAATTTGATCACTAGAAAATAAGACATGAACAGGAGGGGATGGTGCCACATGGAGATCCTTAGCTCTTGTAAATTGAAAAGCATATTGCAAATTAAGAGCATCAGGAAGGGAAGTTTGTGTGCCGTTGGCTTTCATTGTTGAACATAAATTATTGGAGAAAAATTGTCCTGTCTGATATTCACTTGGTGGATCTTTTCTGTGAAAGGAATTCGTGAAAATGTTCTTGACTTTTGAGGGAAACATTGACAATGGTGTATTGGTCCCACCTGAAGATGCGTGACTTTTACAAAAATGGCTTCTTTGATATTCGCATTCATCAGATGAAATGGTCCTTCCTATGGTGCTACTTGCAATCTCCTCAGATGGAAGATTGCTTGGTATGCTTCTTGAGAAGGCATCAATTCTGGAGATAAGAAAACAGTACATGTGACTTGCAATTTAAAATAAGCATGTTATAGGGTCTTACTCTAGACTTAAAAAAAATTGATCATAGATGAAACCAGGTCTAGTCACAAACACAAAGATCAAGGTGAAGGTCCCATCCACATTGCCAAGGAAGCCACCACCTCATCATTTCCTGTAATAGACCAATCAGTTGATAAAGTAAAGAAAAACATTTATTTAAGACAATTTCTCCCTCAATCTCTCTAAATTGTTTTTTAGCAGCAATGACCCAATGAATAAAGATTATATACTTTTATGAAGAATACATTTCTACTCTTTACACAATCTTTTAAAATAAACAGTCTTATGGAAATTTCATAGGTATGACAGAAGAATATCCCGTAATATCAAGTGTAGTTTTCTATAGTCAATTGGTGCGGGAGAATTATCTGTATTCTGTCAATCATGTATTTTAATAAAACGCTGATTGGCCAGGCAGGCAGTATAGGCGGGTCAACCAGACAGGAAGTAGAGGCGGGGCAAAGAGAATAGAATAAAGTTACGGAGGAGGAAGGTCCCTCCGGCACTCCTGCGCAGACCACTGAAGAGGCAGCATGTAACTTGCCCAGCTGAGAAAGGTACGGAGCCAATGTGGCTAATGTAGATAAAGATAATGGGGTAACATAAGTTATAAGAGCTAATAAGTAGCCAGAGCTAAGGGCCAATCAGCTTTATAACCTAATGTAGGAATCCTTAAAGGGGGGGAATTAGTTAAAAGAGAGAGTTTTTTCCAAGGTTACCATGGGAACTACCATTGCAATGGAAGGATGTGGATCTCTGGATGATAATATGCTGCACAGTTTGAAAATGAAACCGTTAAACGAGAGGACATCTAGGTGGAATTTATGTAATGTCAGATGTAAACATTATCAGCTTTATCATTTTTGTCTTATCACTAAAAAGTTGATTAATAAGAGTGCTAAGATACAGGCCTTAGAAAAACTTAATAAAGCAGATCCCAGAGATATTCAAATACAGACAGAGGGATTTAATGGAGAACCAATTTCAGCATTGCACTATAAGAATAGAGAGGAATAGTCTAAGGTTTTCACACAATCAACCTTAATATATCTATCTAATAACCTTACAGGAATTTACAAATGGCAGAGACTCTATTACAGCTAACTGGAATCCTGCGGCAATGCTATATTTAAAGAGATTCAAGGAAGCAATCGTCTCACATGGCATGCATTTACCTTTTGTGAAGCAAATATCAAACTCACAGTCAGTTTGTGATAGAAGTATTCCTAAAGACTGGATAGAGTTGACTAATGGTGTTTTAGAGCCTCAATTACAATGGAGTGACTGGTTCAGGTAAGAGGCTAAGATTATTGATCAACAGAGTAAAGGTAGAGGTATAGAAACTCCCAATATCAAATTATTGGAGAAGCAGATTAGGCTACTACAGAAAGGCAGGCTGTTTATGATGACCACACTATGGATTTATGATGCACAACAGCTTTGAATACTTGGGACAGAACTGGAGAAATAGGAAAAAAAATGAGTCATTTTAAAGATATACAGGGCTCAAAGGAAGTCTTTACAGATTTATTTATTTATTATTTGGTTTTTTTGAGACAGGGTTTCTCTGTAGCTTTGGAGCCTGTCCTGGAACTAGCTCTTGTAGACCAGGCTGGCCTCGAACTTACAGAGCTCCATCTGCCTCCAGAGTGCTGGGATTAAAGGCGTGTTTCACCACTGCCCGGAGCCTTTACAAATTTATTACAAAGACTGACTCCAGCAGTAAATAGAATGATTCTGAATAGAATTCAGAAGTTGGAAAAATAATAATTGAAACTCTGGCTTTTGAAAATGCCAATTTTCTATTCAAAAGGATAACTAGCCTGTTACAGGCATGGTCAACACCTTTGGAAGAACGGATCCAAGACACAATTAACATGAGCATGATGAACATAATGGTGCCTGGATAGGAGAAGTTATTTCTAGAGATACAAGGAAAAATCAAAATGTCAAATGTTATAATTGTGGGAAACAAGATCACCTTAAAAGAAATTATAGACAGGGCATTCCTAGAAACAATCTTTTTAAAAGCAATTTCCTGAATCTATAGTTTACCATTACTTGGAGAACATTTTGTTATCTGATTCAAATGTAGACGCATTAGAAAAAATATTTAAAGAAGTAAAAAATTTTTGACTTGTTGGAGATTACAAATTGCTCCTAAAAATATAAAGAGGAGATTCTATGAATCATGTAGGCTATAAAATAGGTTTACAAAAAATTAGACCCCAAAAGTTGCAAATTAGGAGATCAATAGCAGACTCTTAATGACTTCCAAAGATTTCTAGGAAACATTTCCCAGCTATGGCCCACTATTGAGATAGGTCTTCATGACCTATTAATTTAAATAAAATTTTATATGGTGAAAAGGACTTAAATAGTTCCGGGGAATGATCTGATGTGGGATTCCCCTCTGTATGCTTGAATACCATTGGTTAATAAAGAAACTGTCTTGGCCTGTGATAGGGCAAAAAAGTAGAGCTAGGCAGGGAAAACTAAACTAAATACTGGGAGAAGGACAGTAGAGTCAAGGAGAAGTCACGGAACCACTGCCAGAGACAGACATGCCAAAACTTTGCTGGTAAACCACAGCCACGTGCAGATACACAGATTAATGGAGATGGGTTTGTTTAGGATATAAGAGTTAGTCAGAAATACAACAGTATTGTAAATAATATAGTTTCTGTGTGGTTATTTCAGGAGTCTTGGCAGCTGGGAACACACAAACTCCTACAACAATGATCAGCTGATGCAGTGAGAGAATTGGCTTTGATTGAAGAAAATTTACGGAAGACACATTTGAATCATGTGGATCTGAATCTGAACTGCATTCTGATCATATTGCCCTCCAAACGACCCCCTATGAGAAATTTAATACTGAGGGAAGATATCTTAGAATGGACCTTTTTTTATGACCATAGTTGAGTTTTTATGTGGGAAAGGTCTCTGAGATAAATTTAAAAGGAAAATTGAGATTTCATCAATTAGCAGGAATAGACCCAGCAGAAAGTAGAGTACCTTTTAATAATGATGAGACTGACAAATTATGGGAAAACAGTGAACCCTGACAAAGAGCTTGCAGTCATTTTTTTGGGAGAAATTAACAACAATCCCAAAAGCAAGAGAATTCAACTTATAAAAAGAACTAGCTGGATCCTTCCTTGAATTGTATGGAACACACCAGTAACTGGATCCCCTCCATTCAACACTGATGCAAATCAATCAAGAAAGGCAGGATACAAATCAGAAAATTTAAGTAAAGTGGATCAAATCCCTTATAATTATTTTTATATATTATTATATATTATATATATTATATATTATATTATATAATTATATATTATATAATATTATATATTATAATTATATTTGGAATTCTGTCCAAAATTCAGAATTATATGCTATTCTAATGGTACTAAGGAATTTTAAAGATCCTCTCTAACATAGTTACTGATTGGGAATATGCAGAAAGAGTTGTTTTACATATTGAAACCATTGAATTTATGCAGATGATACAGAATTGACCTCATTATTTATTTAGCTATAAGATTCAATCAGGAATAGGAATCATCTCATATACTAAGACACATCCAATCCCATACAGGTCTGCCAGATCCTCTAGTTCAAAGTAATGCAGAAATCAATCAGTTATTGATTGGAAATGTGCTGGAGGCCTCAGAGTTTCATAGAAAAACATCCTGTCAATAGCAAAGGTTTTTAAAAAAAGATGTCTCCATCACAGTGTAATAAACCAAGGAAATTATAAGGAGATGTCCTACTTGTTCTTTATACAACCAAACACCACTACTTGTCGGAAGTAACCCAAAGGGTACTCAAAGGAATGAAATTTGGCAGATGAATGTGTTCTATTTTGTAGAATTTGGAATACTAAAATATGTACACTACACATTGTTATCTATTCAGATTTTCAATGGGCAACTGCTTTGAGTTTGGAAAAGGCTAGTTCGGTAATCACAGATTGGCTTGACGTTATGGCCATCATGGGTATACCTGTACAAATAAAGACAGACAATGCTCCAGCATATGTCTCTAGAAAATGAGACAGGTTTTTTTTTTTTACCTATTATGATACAAAGCATATTACAGGTATACCCCCACAACCCTCCAGGGCAGGCAGTTAAAGAAAGATCAAATCAAACTCTAAAGGATATGTCAAATAAACAGAAAGGAATGATTAAATACCCCCAGAAATAGATTGCATGATGCTTTACTAATTTTGAATTTTCTAAATGCAAATGAGAAAGGAACAGCAGCTGTGGAGAGACATTGGATAGTAGAAAAAACTAGAGAATTAAATCAGCTGACGTACTTTAAAGATGTACTAACTTCATAAGGGCAACCAGGATATGTGTTACATTGGGGAAAGGGTTTTGCTTTTGTTTCTACAGGGGGAAAAAAAGCTATGAATACCATCAAAATTGATAAAGATTCGACTTGAACAAGAGACACCTCTTTAAAAGGAAAACAACTCTTCTTTCATTTTACATACCAATCCCAATTCCCACTCCCTTCCTTCCTCCCATTCCCTTCACCTTCCCTCCATCCACTCCACAGAGAGAGTAAGGCACATTGATATAAGGAAGGTCCAAGGTCCTCTCTAATATATCTAGACTGAGCAAGCTATGCATCCAAAGAAAATGAGTTTTCAAAAAGTCAGTCCAAGCAGTAGGGATAAATCCTGGTGCCACTGCCAGAGGCCCTGCAGTCTGCTCCAACCATGCAACTGTCACCCACATTCAGAGGGTCTAGTTTGGGCCTATGCTTGTTCCTTCCCTGTCTAACTGGAGTTGGTGAGCTCCCGTTTGCTCAGGTAAACTGTTTCAGTGGGTGTCCCCATCATGGTCTTGACCTGTTTGCTTATATTCTCACTCCTCCCAATATTCAACTGGACTTTGGGAGCTCAGCCCAGGGCTCCGTTGTGGGTGAGAGACACCTCTTAATTAAAAGAGATATAATTCATATGCTATTCTAATGGTACTAAGGAATTTTAAAGAGCCTCTCAACATAGTTACTGATTGGGAATATGCAGAAAGAGTTGTTTTACATATTGAAACCACTGAATTTAATAGGCACCATGGCCATTTAATCTAAACTAACCTATAAAACTATCAAATGCTTTTCATTTGATCAGATATAACTTGTCAAAAGAGAATCTCCCCAAAACGATGCTTTGGGAAGGGTTTTGTTTTTGTCTATTGGGTATAATGAAGGTATCCAGGCTAAGGAACCCAAAGATTGCTGGGCAAATGAGACACCTGGACATAAAGGACAAATCATTCAGAAAAAGGATCCCAAGAAAAGGACTACATTGGCCTTCTGGTACGTCACATTTCCAACAGGATAAAATTTCATAAATCTTCCCAAGTGTTTGTTTTTTGCTATTCTCTACAGACGTATGATGCAAATAGTCTTCCTGTAGTCCCAGTCTATTGGAAAATTAAAGCTGGCTTTAGAGTTGGAGTGCAGCTCTCTCAGTCTCTAAACCCAAGCATGTTCGTTAAAATAAAATCTAAAATCTCTGTCTCATGTCAGAAGAGCTACCTGATATGGGACAGAAGAAAAACAAAAACTAAGTACTATTTTAGTTTATTGCCACTAATCTCATATGTAACATGAAAAACCCACAAACAAGCAGGCCCCCCTCATGTTACAGAATGGCGCCCACATGGATAACTGCATCCACAGAAAGCCTGAGAAAGCTTGGGAAATACAGACTAAAGCATTTCGGTTTTCAGCCATAAGCGCTGTTTTAAAATGCAGGCTTTCTGGGCCGTCCTGCCTGGTAAAACGTTGACTCTTTCAAGCAGGCAGTCGGGACTATGGAAACACTGTTGCAGCTTGCTTCCTGAAAAGGACCTTGAAAGGCCTTAAGAGCTTTTGAGTGTTGTCTTTACCATATTCCTTAGCAAATTAAAGACCCATTGGTCAGAAAAAGAGGGATATACAGTAAAGAGAGATTCAAAGAGTAAGAAAACCTCTAAATGGTTTACAGTGTGTTAAAAATATATACAGGCTAAAGGTTAAAGTTCTCAAAATAAAAAAGAAAGAAAGAAAGTAGCCTGGGAGGCAGAGACAGACAGATCTCTGGGAGTTCAAGGATAGCCTGGTTTACAGAGTGAATTCCAGGACAAAGATATGCAGAGAACCTGTCTCAAAAAGCCAAAAGTTAAAAGTAAAAATAAAAGAAATAGAGGTTAAAATAAAGCCACGTAAAGATGGAAAATACACAGAGAATCTTGATACTGTATACTATTATGCTCTCTTTAAATTGTTTGAATGCTGAGGAAGGAGCAACAGCTGCTAAAAGGTATTTGCTTATAAATGCTGCAGAATTAATCCAAAATAGGTATTTTGAAAATACCTTGGCTTCAAAATTGAAGTCAAAAGGTATGTTACTTTGGAGAAGAGATTTTGCTTTTGTTTCCACAGAAAACGAGAGGCTCTGGATTCATTCTGAGTTAAGAAAAATCCAGTTTGAACAAGGGAGACCACCTGAGAAATCTCCAGTAGGAACAGATGGATGGCCCAGATGTCTGAGTTCTTCATCCAAAACAGGTTCAAGACTGCTGCCTGAGATGATCAAGACTCACAGGATACTTCAATCAGGACTTGATCATAACTCTAAATTTTCTTTAGGTCCCCATAAGATTATCAGCGCCCCCAACCAGCTGGAAGTAGCCTGGAATACTACGCTCACATTCCCAAAAAATGGACTATGGATATTTTCCTTTGTTGGTTTTTTTTTATTGTCTGTATTCTGTCAATCATGTTTTAAATAAACGCTGATTGGCCAGGCAGGAGGTGTAGGGGGGAAAACCAGACAGGAAGTAGAAATGATGCAAGGAGAGCAGGAGAATTCTGGGGAGGAGGAAGTTGATTTCTCCCACTCATGCCCAGACCACCGAATCAGCAGGATGTGAGCTGCCCCACTGAAAAAGGTACTGAGCCACATGGCTAACATAGATCAGAAAAATGGGTTAATCAAGATGTGAGAGTTAGCCAGTAAGAAGCCTGACCTAACAGGCCAATCAGCATTATACCTAATAGAGACCTTTGTGTGATTTTCTTTGGGCTTGCCGTCTGTGGGGTACTGGGAAGGACAGAAACCCCTGACAAACAAACAGCCCCCCATGTTACACTCATACTCCTTTGATTGTGTGTTGAATCTTTAACAGCTTTTCTTAAGGTAAAAATTTATAACATATATACATTATAAATTTTTTAATCATAATATTAGTGGTCATAAAGAGTACTAATTCTAGAAAAAGGTTTTATCTACATTCCTGTACATAATTTTGGGTTTGAGTCTCTATGAGTCTTCTGCAGTGAACCATGTCCATGCCTAACAGCAACTTTTGAAATCTCCAAAAGGAGGTTGGGTGCTCCACAATGACAATTCTTCCAGAACTATGATAACACTACTAAGCTGAAAAACACTACCTAAAGATTGACTTGGACTACAAATTGCTCAGAATAATTTCGAGATGGCCAGCTGAGATGATCCAGCCTCACAAACTACTCTAACTAGGACTTGAGACAAGCCCTGCACTTCTCCATTATGCAGAGACTGGGCAACAAATGATACAGCTACCTCTTTCAGGACTGGACAACAAAAATTTTCTTTTCAGGATTCTATAAAGATGCTGTCACCCCGATGCAGCAGGAAGTAATTTAAGAATATGAAATCCACATTCCCTAGAGGTGGGGTGGGTGGCTTTTGGTCATTCAATGGGTTATGGGATTTGTCATTGTTTAGGAGGGTTGGTTACAAACTGCTATTTGTTATGCTCAGGAGGAAAGCAGAACAAAGGAGATTAGATTCAGAGTTCTTGTTTTGTAAAGAAAAACGGGGGGATACACATATAGGATAAAAGGGTAGAATCTACTTTGAAAAGAAAAAATGGAGAATACAGATATGGTAAGATAAAAAGGTAGATTACTAAATCTAGCTTTGGGGACAGTGCATCCATTGAGCTGAAAGTTGCAATGTCTCAGACAGTCCCATGAGTGTCTGGCAACACTATGGTGTTTCCCCAGTTTGCAATGGCAATCCTACTGCCAGCCACTCTTGACAAGGATTCTGCTAACCTGGAACCTCAGCGCACTTTTTCTGCTTCTTTTTTTTTTTCTTGAACTTTATTTTAAGTGCGTTGGTATGAAAGTGTCAGATCTCCTTGAATCAGAATTACAGACATGAGCTACCATGTGGGTGCTGGGAATTGAACCCAGGTCCTCTGGAGGAGTGGTCCATGCTCTTACCAGCTGAACCATCTCTCCAGCCCCCACTTTTTCTGCTTCTTGAGGCACCTACCTTAGGACTAAAGTTCTGAGGACCCATAGAATAACAGAGCAACTAACTTTAAATGTTAGTACATTTGAAATATGAAAGAAATTAGACAATCAATTTCCAGGTTCATTCTGCACAAAGAAAGAAGTGATAGCACAGAAAAATAAAACAGCCCTCTTGGTGCTTGTGTTTGGTGTGCATGTCTGTATATATATGCACATGCATGTTCATTGTGTGTGGTCACATGTGTGTATGCAACCTATGTGAGGCCATAGGTTGAGGTCAGGTGTTCTTTCTCCTTCACTCTCTGTCTTCTGTCTGGAAGTAGGGTGTGTTGAGTGTAACCTAGCTAGCCATTTCTAGCTATTGGGTGTCTTAACCACTTGAGGGCTTAGGACTACAGGTGGGTATCACACTAGATTAGTATGTGTGTGGGTGCTGGGGATCTGAACCCCAGTCTTCTGTGGGCAGGCCGTCTTGAAGCTCCCAAGCATGCCTTTTCTTAAATATCGACAGTGGTTTTTGTTCGGAGTTAAATCTGAGCTTTGGGACGTGGTATTTTACGCCCTCTGTGGTCTCAGGGCCACCTCTTCGTGTCCATCTGCTGCTAACTTTTCAGCAACTCTGAAATCATTGCTATTCCTTTCACACAGCTTGCTGTTTCTTGGTTTCTTATCTTCGTATATGTCTTGGAGTGCCTTTATTAGCTTCTAAACTATTTGCAGGGTAATTTTTGTCTGTTCTTTAAAATCCAACTCCAGGGTCGATGAACAGTTCAGCTTGCAAAACTGCTTGCTGCCAGGTCTGATGACCTGAGTTAAATCCCCAAGACCAATGCTGTAAGAGCAGAAAACTCGCCCCTGAAAGAAGTCCTCTGACCTCCCACGTGTCCCCTATCTGCCACCCCACCATCAACCATGCAAACAAACAAATCAATACACAAATGGAATTTTAAACATTGAAATTCCAGCTCTCCTGTACCCCTCATGAAACCATTCTCAGAGCCCTAGGCTGGTTTAGACATCTCCTGAATGTTTGCAAACTGGGCGGTAACTGTCCTTTGGGTACATGTCTGAGATCAGACGCTAGCTCAAGCGTTTGTCCCCTATCATCCAACAGCACCCTTTGCATAGATGTTTAATCATCACTGGATGAGTTCTAGTTAAAAGACCTAAGAGAGCAACAAAGAGAATGATGATGCTGGGGTCTAAATCACAGAAGCACTTGTGAGCTCACAGATCCTGAATTACCTCTGGAGTGTCAGAGAACCTCTCAGATTTACAGGGCCCACTTCTCTGTTGGCTCCATCCACAGAAGATGGTAATTTTTTTTTTGTACCAAGTGAATGATAAGAAATGGTGGTTAATGTTTCTTTGTGAGCAATGGGGGCGTTTTATCATAAGAACCTGAGTTAATCTTTTTAAGCCTTATCTACTTTCAAGGATAATTTTGCCAATATATGAAAAGCCCTTATTACAGCTTGGAACAAGGCAACCACTTAAAAACTACATTGGAGCAAATTGTAGTTTACTGTGCCTTCCTTTTAGGAAGAGGCTTCTCTGGGATTCAGAAATCAGAACAAGTATGAATAGAATGCTTCATCTCACCTTTCCATGGAAGATGTGTGGGAAACCGACCAGCTCTGTGGAGCTACATGAAAACAAAAAGTTACAGTATAAGTATCTGGATAAATAAGTTTAATATCAAAAGATGAAAATGTAAACTGGGCAGTCCTGGATCATGCCTTTAATTCCAGCACTTGATAGGGAGAAGCAGGCAAATCTCTATGAGTTTGGGAGCAGCCTGATCTACAGAACTGGTTCCAGGACAGCTAAGACCAAGAATACACAGAGAAACCATCTCAAAAGACAAACAAACAGAAAACACAGAGACAGACAGAGAGACAGACACACACACACAAAAATTGTGTGATATTTACCATATATCAGTCCTTTGGGGAAAATATCTTCATTCTGCTTCAAGGGAGAATATCAAAATGTTAGAGAAATAGCCCGACTATCAAAGTTAAATTTTTTTATAAATTATTATGTGTGTTTTTGAAAAATAGGAGAGAATGGTCCATCAGTTCTTACCTTCTGAGAACACGAACTATCATTTTCCCATAGCTCAAACTTCTTCTTAAAAAATTCAAAAGTTCTTATGAGGACTATCTCAAAAGTAACCCCCAGAAAAATTATAATCAGGGCTACTAGCCAAACATTGTTAAAAATCCAGTGGTCCAGAAAGTCCCATATTTTGCAAAAAGTATTCTCATCTAAGATAGGCTTCGAAATGTTTTTAAAGAAATGGTATATTTTTGACATAATGGCCAGCTATCTCATTTATCCGGCCTTGATTTCAGAAGCCCCTCAGATACGAAATGCTGCTCTGTCCATCTAGATCATAAGCACATACGTGCAAAGCTCTGCCAGAAAAATAAAACACTTCTAGCACCATTCAGTGCCTGTGTCCAATGGCACAGTGCTTGCCCTGGGCACTGAGTAAAGTAAGGTACGTGTCACAATGGGTGTTTACTGAGCTCACAGCCACTCCTGCAGCGACAAAAGGTCATAGGTGAAACATATACAGTCCATGTATGGTACTAGTACGTAGGCTATATATATATATATATGTATGTATGTATATATATGAATGATATATATATATATAGGATATATATATTGGCAATGCCTTGCACTACATAGCCTGTGCTGGCCTTGAACTCCCATAACTCCTACTTAGTCCAGACTGTCTTTGAACTGGAGATCCTCCAGCTTTAGCTTAGGTGTGTGCTACCTTTTCTGGCATCATTATGTAGTTAATCCTTTAGTTTTCTTGAGATAGGATCTCCTATAACACAGCGAAGCCTTGAACTCTTTATATAGCCTAAGCTGCCCGGGAACTCATGGAAATCCTTTGCCTGAGCCTACCAAGTACTGGGATTATAGGCTTGCACTACCACACTCAGTTTAGATATTTTTAAATTCAACAAATAATGTTCTATCAATTTAATCAAAACTGCACAGTTATATACACAACCTCTCGGCACAATTGAATTGCTACCCTAATGAAAAATATGCAAAGTAGAATTGAAGTTAGAAATCCATTTAATTTAGTAATTTCTCTTCTTCTCAACAGCAGTGTATTTTATGCTTCCTTGTAGTCAAGAAAATATAGCCCTCTCAGAGTAATGACTAACTGACAGGTGTAACAAGTAAAAACACTGGATGTTGTAGCTAGGTATGATAGCATAGGACTTTAATTCCAGTACTCAAGAGGCAGAGGCAGGCAGATCTCTGTCAGTTGAACGACTATCCTGAGTACATAGCGAGTTCCAGGACCCCAAGGGCTAATAGTAAGATCTTGAATTAAAAAATCACCTGGTTTCCCTAGTTATCCTGAGTTTGACATACTCCACATAGCTTTTTAGTTCTAGTATGTACTGTTGCCAACATGTAGGACATATGATAAACGGTTTCTGCTGATCCAGCTTCTTGGAACATTTCTTTTTGCTCCAGGAGTCAGTTTTCAAGTTCCCCGCTCACGATCTATTTATACATTCAAAACCAAAGTCTGACTTTTGAATGACCTGTGGGTGAGTTTCCTTTTGCTGTCCTAAGATCAGAATTAAGGGTGGTCAGAGGCATATCTAGACTGATTAGGCCTTAATCTAAGCAGGTAGGCCTGGAAGTTTCCTGAGCAAACACAGTTTTAGCCACAGGACAGCGTGAACAACACAATTTGTGGATGTATGGCCCCTTTCCTCTGGTGATGCAATTAATACTTCTTGGGTTTCATTTACTCAAGGTGAGTTGAGAAAAAAAGACATTTAACTCAGCTGGAGTAAACTCCTCAGGCCTCCTCTGAGGACATCAGAATTACTGAGCTCTTACTTTCTTCAATACTGGGAAACACATCCTAAATGAAATTCCTGGTCTTCTGTATTCTTGAGTAGAATAAAGATGCTTGTGTTTACCTTGGGTTCATTCTGATCTTGGATTTTGACTTGCCGAGTATATTGCAGGAATTTCATCCATGAAGGAACCTTTGTAATCACTGTTCTTCAAGTATGCCTTCACTTCTGTCCCTCTACATGTGCACAGCAGAGGTGATTTTTTTCTGGGGCTGGCGGAAGGTTCGAGACAGGGTTTCTCTGTGTAACAGCCTTGGCTATCCTGGAACTAGCTCTTGTAGACCAGGTTGGCCTCGAACTCACAGAGACCGGCCTGGCTCTGCCTCCAGAATTCAGGGATTAAAAGCATGCACCACCACCACCCAGTTGTGGCAGTAACTTTTTAGAAAGAATTCCTTTCCCTAGATTTTTAAGTCTTTAGGTTTTTTGGGGTGGGGGCTGGCGGTGGTATATTTTCTGATAAAATTTAAAGCAATTGAACAAATAACTTGATTTCTCCTGATGGCAATTTTTCTGTAATTCTCTCAATGTTACATAACTCTTAGGGAGTTCATTGTAGTATTATCCTCTGTTCTCTATGTTCCTAAGTTTTATGGGACTGAATCCCTAGCAAGTACTTCACTGACTGACAAACACTTCTATACAAACCAAACAGGCTTGGAACAGCTTCTAGGGGTTTTTGGTCCACTCCCTATGTAACTGCTTACTGGAAAGAGACTGTTTTGTCACATAGATGCTTTCTTGTCTTGGAAACCTCTTCTTAAATCAACCTTAAGTGAGCAGCACAAAAACACATATATGCCTAATAATCATGAAGGCAAATTTAAAAATTAGAACATCAGAGAGATAACCCACTACCAACAGAATTTAAGGACCTAGGAAGAGACTCGGAGATTCTTTTTAAGTTTGAAAACCTTATGCAATAATTTCATATTTTTTCAACCTTTTGGAGTTCCAAGACAAAAACTTTCATTTTGACAAGAGCTCTCAATAATAAATGGATAAATAAGCCAGGGGTCGCTTGTAATTATGAGATATAATTAAGCAGTTCAGTATAACAAATATTGATCCAATACAGTATAAGATGCCAAAGTCAAGAAGTCCTTAAAGAATGAGTGAAATACATTCCTTGACGTGAGTTTGTAATGGATATGGGATCATGCCAGAGTGTGACTGACAAAGGAAGAACATGCCTGTCGTAGGGTTTCTATTGCTGTGAAGCAACACCATGATCATGGAAAAATCTCATAAAAGAAAATATTTCATTGAGGTGGCAGCTTACAGTTTAGAGGTTCAGTCCATTATCATCATCGCAGGAAGCCTGGCCTCATGCAGGCAGACACGGTGCTGGCTCCATCTTGATCAGAAGGCAACAGGAAACTTGGACTCTCTCACTCGAGTGACTTGAGCATTTATGAGACTTCAAAACCCACCTCCAAGAAAACCAGCCTACAATTCACAATCCCAGAGAACCTAGACAACAATGAGGACCCTAAGAGAGACATACATAGATCTAATCCACATGGGAAGTAGAAAAAGACAAGATCTCCTGAGTAAATTGGGAGCATGGGGACCTTGAGAGAGGGTTGAAGGGGAGGGGAAAAGTAGGAAGGGGAGCAGAGAAAAATGTAGAGCTCAATAAAAATAATAATTAAAAAAACCCTCCAGAGTAACACTTTTCTTCCAACCAGACCACACATCTCCAACAATGCCACACCTCCTAATAATGTTACTCCTTTTTGGGGCCATTTTCTTTCATACCACCACAGTGCATTGGTCTTTGACAAAAGATACTCTGGAAATCAAGGAAACCTGAAAAGAATGGGGGAAAACTGTTTTAGAGAATGAATAAAATTTTGCAACTAGATCAAGATCAACAAAATGAAAATCACAGGATGAGACAGAAAAGTTTTCCTTTTGGCAAAACTGTAATTCAAGTTCATTGCATTAGGGCTTCAAGTTTATAATATGAAGGATGACAAGGACAGAGTATTGATAGGATCCTCTCATGGGGACACCTTTGGAGGCTCATATTTTAAAGTTGAAATAACAACTGATCAAAACAAGGAGACAATTACGTGGAAGCATCATTTAAAACATTGCAATTAGTCAAGTGAGAATTGAAAATGGCCTGTTAGACAGACACAGGTCCCAACCCGCTTACCTACTGGACATCTTTGTAGCACCTTTTCCATCCAGTTCTGACAAATCGTGTTTGACTCAGGTTAGAAGCCAGTCATTGTTTTAAAGAAACTTACTATGTCATACACTAACTGAAACAAATAAGTAATCACTAGTGTAAGTGGGTAGGTGTCTAATTATTACAGGCAGCACAATAGCTCTTTTAAAAGTATACAAATTAGGTCTCATTCTGAGATTCCTGGAGGCAGGATCACCATTTCAGACTGAGGTTGAGTTAAGAAAATCTTGATCTTTATAGTCAAAATGATTCTGGAAAACAGTGGAGCAGATGACATTGCAGAGAGCACAGCTCAGGCTGAATGTGGGATCTCAGGGTGAACCTGAAGGAACAACTGGAAAAATACCATTAAAATAGACAAAGAAGACATTTTGCTTTTTTTAACAGTTTTCAGAACAGAATTTTTCTTCCTGGAATGCCTAGTTTCAGTATAACACTCAGATTAAAAAAAAAAGAATGTACACCTGGAAAAGCTACAGCCCCAATGAGTAAAGCAAAGAAGCAAACATTGAGGGTCTGGAGAGATGGCTCAGAGGTTAAGAGCACTGGCTGCACTTCCAAAGGTCCTGAGTTCAATTCCCAGCAACCACATGGTGGCTCACAACCATCTGTAATGAGGTCTGGTGCCCTCTTCTGGCCTGCAGGGATATATGCAGGCAGACCACTGTATACTTAATAAATAAATAAACCTTGAGAAAAAAAAAACGAAGCAAACATTGATCCAAGGAAGGAGGAAATTCACTGCAATTTTTCAGTTTGGTGGAATATAACTTTCTAGTTCATCCTTAAGATTGTCTGAATTGAACAACCTCCACTGGAGCAGGCCTGAGCCAGTGACCTCAGTGGGAACAGGCCTGAGACAGCAACCTCCACTGGAGCAGGTTTGAGCCAGTGACCTCTACTGAAGCAGGTACAAGAGAGCCACCACTGAGAGAGCAGGCTCAAGACAGAAACTTCTGCACGACCAGGCATGAATCAGCAAACTCCAAGGGAGCAGGCCCTAGCCAGCGACCTCCTCCAGAGCAGTCCTGAGCCAGTAACCTCTGCCTGAGCAGGCCCAAGCCACCAACCTCCCTGAGAGCAGGCCCGAACAATCCCCGGGATTGCAGAGCAACAAAACACCAATAAAAACTAGTGGTCTTAAAACAGTAAGACTTGAACAACCAAATATAGATGAAGCAGAATGAAATGACCTAAAAAAATAACTTTAGGAGAATGTTTGAGGCCCTTAAAGAGGAAATGAAAAATTTCCTCAAAGAAATGGAGGGAAGGATAAACAAAAAATTGGAAGAAATCAACAAATCCCTTAAAGAAAACCAAAAAAAAAAAAGCAATCAAACAGTGAAATAAACTGTTCAAGACTTGAAAA